TTTTATTGCAACAAGGTGATGTAATTTATCTTTTAAGAATTTAATATTAGTTTACACCATTAATATGATTATTCTTCGCACTAAAAAACTTTGAGAATCTAATATAATGCAATGTAAAATAGTTTATATAGAGTAGTAATACATTGTTTATGAAAATATGTTGTTATATAATAGACAATTTTGTTCTTGTTATTGATCAAATTATTAATAGTTCCTTATTTTCTGAAACTGTACTAAATATTATATAATGGGAGTACTTACCAATTCAAATATATTGATTAATTTATGAAAGTAAAAGACATATATTAAATTAATAAGAATAAAGGAAATTATAACAATAAACATGTAATTAACATTAATTAAATAAGAAAACCATATACCGTTTATGACTTGTTATGACGTAGTTGAATTAAGATAGGAGTCTTATTTTGAGTTTCAATGGTGTTAAGACTGTGTCACGGGATCTGATTCATTTAGATCTATTCAGACCCATTTAGAGACTTTTAGAGAAACAAAACAAACTTAAAGAATTGAATCTAAATAATTAAGATTCAGTCATCAAAAATAAACACACTTAGGTCTCATTAGTTTGCATTTAATGGAGGTCTGAATCTTAATCATTCAGATTCAGCTCATTAAGTACGTTTGAAATTTAGGACTGAATCTGAATCATTCATGTTCAACCAATTAAGTTTATTTGTTTTATTTTTCAAAAAAACCTTTTAATGGGTCTAAAGAGGTCTAAACGAATCAGATCTGTAAGAGACTCTTAACAACATTCAAACTGATTTGATAAGTTATAAAATAATAATAATAAATCATAATTGCTCTGCCTTGGGCGTGCTCTTTTTGACTTATAACTAAAATTTTCTTTCTCGCTTTTCTCAATCAAATACCATATTTTCCTAATTGGTATGTTTTTATAAATCCTTTCAAGTATTTTTTTTATATATTAATAACTTTTTTGTATTGATGTGTGTCAAGAACACTGATTGCAATAATATTTTTGGTGTATTAATTGTTGTTTATCAAGGTTTTTGAATGAAAAAATAGTACTCCAAATCATATGATTTATTAGAATATTTTTTTAATCAAAAGTGATATATTTTGTTGAAATGAAAATTTTATAATATTTTATTAATATTATATTTAATATGACTTTCACATTCAGATATTGAAAACAAACAACATTAATTATTTAGTGTTCAGATTAAAAGACCACATCTTAATATTCAAATGTGTATTCAAATAAAAAAACACTCAGATCTTAATGTGAATCTTAATATTCAGATGTTTATTCATATTCAGACCTCTTAATCTTAATGAAAACAAATGAGGTCTTAATGCGGTGAATCTGAATTATTAAGATTCAAACCCTCATTAAGTGCAAATAAATGAGATCTTAAACTAATAAATGATAGTTTATATATGAAACTCACACTAACAACAATTTAGATATGAAACTAAAATAAAAAAGATCTAAGTATGTTTTTGATAATTACATCTTTTTAAAACAGTGAACAAGGAAAACTAAAAGTGCATAAGAACGTATTCAATTTTATTTGTCCTGTATTTTAAAAAATAATTTTTCACCTTTACTGGTTACCTTTAATATAGGAACGGAAAATACTTTTTCTCACGTTTTACTATATCATTAGTTACCTTTCAAACTATTTAAAAAATTTTATACTAAATATCAATTAATAGGGATAGTCAGAAAAAATATTCATGTCAATCATTATTTTTTTAATGAATACGTCAAGTCCAAATATGACTAATAAAAATGAATGAATGAAATAACAACCGTTAATATTTTGTTAGTTTTTTTAAACTTATAATTATTATCAGCACTCTCGTATTCTTTACGTAAAATTTCCTACTCTTTATGCCAGTATTTGGTATACTGTATTGCAGAAGTTCTTCATTTTATAATAATATAACTATATATCTATATTACTTTAAAAACATAAAGTTCTTTATAAGTATTATCTTAAAAACATAAAGTTTAGATTAAATTTTTTCTTTTATAAAAAAAAAATGGTCTGAAACCCCCAATCTATAAGTGAAATCTCAACTATACACTCCAACTTTAGGGGTGTCCTATTACCCATCTGAACTATATATTGCTCTATTTTCTACACTCCTAAGTGTTGACCTGTCATGGGAGGTGTTGTTACTGCATTTAGACGCGTCAAAAGTAGAAATTTAACGAAAAAAATTCTTCTTCTCCAATGATCATCTTCCCCACCTTTAAATAACCCATTGTTTCTTCTTCCGCACCATTAATCTTTGTTCCTTTTGTAAAAAAAACACGATTTCCTCTACAAATTTAGTAGGATTTAGTTGTTAATGTTCATTTCTACTTAAAATCTTGAATTTAGGAGTCGTAATCTGCTCTAATTTCTTATTAAGGTCCCTAATTAGAATTTTGATTTTTTTCAAAATTCATCAAAAATGTCAAATGAAAACTTGAATAAGCGTTGTATCGATGAATCAGACTCAATGTTCAACGCTGCAGAGAGATACAAACACATATTTTAAACACTTTGATGAAGAAGAGCCACTTATTGAAATTGTTGTAAATATCAATTGAGTTTCTCATATCAATCTTCGAGAAATGTTATAATAGCGGAAGAAGAAGCAATATCAGTGATAGAATTTTTAGAACAAGATTTTCTAGTGTTTAAAATTATGATGAAGGTTGAAGATGTGATAGTCATCAATTCGAGAAAAACTTCAAAGAAAAAGAAATGAAGGAACGGAAAAGAAAGAGAAAAAAGAAGATGAATATAAAGCAAAAAAAGTAAAATATAAAAGAATAATCTTTTTCTAAAAAAAACGGAGTAAACATTATGTGGCAGCACATGTAGACCATTGCCTAATACAAATTTGGGCGTGAGTTTATAGAGGCTAGATATTTTACTTTAAAATGTTCGGAAGGGGGTGATAGGAACTTCGTAAAGAATAAGTGTGTAATTGAGAATTCGATAATAGCCAGGAAAACTTTTGGCCATTTTCTCTAAAAAATATTCTGCAATAGATAATATGTCGTGTATGTGAGAATTTTCTAATAAAGATATGGGAAGGTTGTGTACGTGATGGGATCCTAGAATAATTAGAAAGACTTGCGAGTATGGGAAGTTTTGCTTATGTACGTGAGTGATCTTAAATATATGTGAACTAAAATAGACATGAGAAGTTTTGTTTGTGTACGTGATTGAAGGTAGGTGAAGGTTTTCTAATGTCCTCCTAAACGTCACTCAACTTTGAAATTAGATAGATGGAAGGGGTGGGGTGGGACGTGTACGTATGTGTAAAAAATTATGGAAGTGAAAAGAATGGCAGAGGGAGTGAAATATTGGGCTGGGAAGAAGACTTCCTTTTCAGAAGAATTAGTAAAAAAAAAAAGAACAAAAAACACCTTTAATAGTTTTACGTGCCCAGAGAATGAGTCACGATAACAAAAAGAATTATTAGCAGCAATTAATTTTTAATTATCGTTAAATATGTATTTTTAGCGCTAATTGTTACTCTTTGTATATGTCCGTAAAGACTTTAGCGACGTTGGTTCTAATAGCACTTAACTAATACCGATAAAGACTTTAACAGTCTTTTAATGTTAATATTTAATGCCGTTAAAAATTATTTTTATCATAGTGAATACACGATTTTTTACATGCAGTATTTTATATCTAATAGAGATAACGTTTGAACAAATAAAGTGTTTAATAGAAACAAAAATATATTAAAATGTTCAAATGAAACACGTAAACTACTTCAAAAGACTGTATATGACTTAAGTCAAAAGTCTAATATGACAAATACTTTTATGTAATGTGAACAAGGACCCACAAAGAAATAAAATTAAAGAAAGAACTCATTAAAGAATTTTTTTGAACAAATTTAATTAGTGAAACAAATAATATGACATTACTGTATATTTAATACTTACGAGTTATCATAATGAGTTTTTTTCTAGCCAAATAATTTATGATATTATTTATATTGTAAAATAGATAAACAATTAATTATTGTTAGTTTACTGCCCTAGCACATTCAAATTGATCTAACATACAAGACATTATATCATTTGAAAAACCTCTCTTTTTTTAGTCATAATATCATCAAAAGTTATTCCAATAGATCGACATATTGGACATTCAAAATCTCTTCGTCTTCTTTTTAACCATAATATATATTGAAAAATTTATTCAAATTGATCTCATAATATATCGTAAGTTAATGTATATCATAATATTTATTTTAGTAATTAAGTTTGTTCGTAAAATCTTTTTAATGATGTTTCTTTAAATTTTTTTATTTATAGGATTCAAGTTTATATATCATAAAAGATAAATTTATTTTGTCATGTCAATTTTTTAATGATAAATTTAGATAAGTGATTTTATTGACATAGATATCTAAGTTAAGTGATTTTATTGATATAAAATAAAATTTAATGACTTTATTACATATATTTTAAAAATTGAGTGACCTTTTGAGATATTAACTCAAACTATATGAAAAAGAACTATTAAAAAAATATATATCATATGGGAAATCCTGATAAAATAGTAATTAGTGTCTTTCTTATTATTATTATATGAATCCTTTATTTTTATAAACAGATATCATCAAATAATTATTAGTATTTAATTATTATTCTAATATTTATGCTTTGAAACTTATTAAAGTTGCGATTATTGAATATCTATTTTAATTATTTATAATTGATAAGAACTCTTAATATTTATTAATTTTTTGACTAAAATTTTATTTATTAAATCTTTCTTTATTTGAACTACTTTGAAATCCCAACAACTTTAATCTCAATTACGTATAGTTAACTTATGCAATCAGTTCTATACTAAACTGACTAATGAAAGTAGAACAAGTTCATCGGTGGATTATTTAACTTTATAAATTGAGTATTATTCTTTTCTACAACAATATAATATCCACGTCCTCAAATAAAGAATTGTTTATGATTAATAGAAGTAACTATAATTAATAATAATTATGTGACTCATGTGTAATTATTTATTCATGTTTTCTCTATATATATCGGATGTACAACCCTTAATCAATAAGACTTATTATTATATCATGGTAACAGAGCAAAGGTAAACTCTTCCGAAACCTAAAAAAAAAACCCTAAACCTTCTTCCTCTTCTTCTTCGTTCGCTGCCGATCAAATCAAAAAATAATTCTCTTTTTGTCTGCTTCTCTTCATTAACAATGGCACCCGATCCTCTTGCCACTCTTTCCTCCGGTGTGAAATTGTTTCTTCGCAATCTTCACAATCTCATCACAGAAAAATAACCCGATCATAATTATCCAGCCTGGTCGAATAGCGTCAAGACGGCGCTCTCCGCAAATCTTCTTCTTGGTTGGATCGACGGCACCAGAATAGTACCGCCAGTCAATATAACCGTCACGGACAAAGATGGTACAAACTCGACAGAACCAAATCCCGCTCATATGTCGTGGGCTCTTATCGATGCTCAAATTCATGCCTGCCTTCTCGTTGTGATTAGCCCGCAAATTCAGAAGTATGCTCGTGGCTTTACTACTTCTGGGGCTCTTTGGAATGCTCTTGCTACCCGCTTTAATTCCTTATCTACAGCCCATGTTTTTCAGTTGCGTGATCGTCTTCACACCCTTCGCAAGGGCACTCGCACCATGGTCCAATATCTAGACGAAGCAGCCTCGATTATCTCTGATCTTGATGCCCTCAATGAAGTTGTTCCCGAATGAGATGTCATCAATGCTGTTGTTCGGGGTTGCCTGCTGAATTTTCCTCTCTAAAACAGCATATCCGCTATCACGATGGTCCACTCACACTAAATCAAATTTCGGGCTGGTTGAATGCAGAAGAATTAAACCTTGCCATGGAATCCAAATTGTCCCTCGCTGACTCGACAGCTCAGCCAACCGACACTGCCCTTTACGCGGCTGGACAGCATGGTGGCAGCCGTCCAGGCAGACGCGGTGCACACCGCGGCGGAGGCAGAGGACGCCAGCAATCCATCGTTCACAGCAGCAGTTCTGGCCGCAGCAGATCTGACCAGGACAACAGACGTGGTGGCGGCGGCAATCTCTCTTCAAATCGCGACCTGCCCGTGTGCCAAATCTGTGAAAAGTGAGGCCACGCGGCTCGCGTATGTTGGTATCGCTACGACGAGCAATCTGCTCCTGCTCCAGACGGCGGGACTCGTGCGATGCATGCATCTACAAGCAACTCTTCAAGTGATTGGTATCTGGATACTGGTGCAAATTCTCACGTGACGCCTGATTACTCTCAACTCCATAATCCGACTTTCTATTCCGGCGCCAACACAATCACTGTAGGTAATGGCCAATCTTTACCCATCTCCAATACAGGTTCTGGCTATGTTTACACCCCCACAAGTACTTTCTCATTGTCCACGCTACATCACGTCCCATCCCTAACATCCAATCTTCTGTCTGTCTATCTGTTTACCAAAGAAAATAACTGTACTCTTCTTTTCAATGCCCATAATTTTCAGATAGTGGACAATTTAACCAAACAGATCCGGTACAAGGGGCGCTGTGAGCAAGGTCTATACACTCTTCCTTCCAAGCTATCTGCGTCTATCTCATCTTAAATTTTTCTAGGAGAACAAAATGAAGCTAATTTACAGCTCTTGTCATATATCTATAATTGCTTCCAATAATTATGAATATATAGTGAATTTTTTGCCCAAACAAGATGTCCAAATAAGAACATCCATGCCCAAACCGATAAACTATTCATACCAAAAGGGTTATATCCATTGATAAGTTGTGAAGAGTTTAACCATAAATAATCCCTTCATCAGTTGCTAATCAAGCCATTCGTTCCTCAACCTGGCACCGCCGACTTGGTCATCCATGTGCCGAAGTCACTAAGTCCATTATGTCTGTCTTAGGTTTTTCATTTTCCACTAAGGACCATTGTGAGTCATGTTATGTAGCCAAATCGAGTCGTTTACCGTTTATCTTATCTAATACTAAGGCCACAGCGCCATTTGAATTAATACACTCTGATGTTTGGGGTCCAACCTCCATCTCCTCTTTTAATGGTTTTCGTTACTATATTTGTTTTGTTGATGATTATAGTAAATTTACATGGCTTTATCCCTTAAAACGCAAATCTGAAGCATATTCGGTTTTTGTAAATTTTGAACGCATGGTCAAAACCCAATTCAACTCCAACATCAAAATCTTTCGCAGTGACAATGAAAAGAATTTTTAAACAATGCCTTTGGCTCTTTTCTCCATTCTCTTGGCATTATTCATCACACATCTTGCCCCTATACTCCTGAACAAAATGGTGTTGCCGAACGCAAACACCGTCACCTCATTGAAACCGTCGTCACTCTCCTTCATGAGTCTCATCTCCCTGCATGAGGCGTTGGCCACTGCCAACTATCTCATCAACCACATGCCCAAACCCTCCCTCTCTAACACATCTCCTTATGAATGTCTCTACACACACCGTTCGGATTACACTCACCTTCGCCCCTTTGGTTGTCTTGCCTATCCTTGGCTACGCCCTCACACTCAACACAAACTTCAACTCCGGTCCACACCATGCATCTTTCTAGGCTACCATCCCTCCATAAAAGGATACAAATGTTTTGAACCCATCTCTCAAAAAACATATGTCTCTCGTCATATTCGTTTTATCGAGGAGGACTTTCCCTATCCCCGGTTAAGTTCTGTCACTGCCACGTCCAACCCACTCGGTATTACTCCAATCTTTCCACCGAGCTCACATGGCCTTGTACCAGCACCCATTAACCCATCCATCATACACACACCACCCAATCCCAACACTCTCATCCCATCTGGATCACCCAGCACCCACAATTTACCCATCCCACCAATTTTCAACCCTCCTCATTAACAACCTCCACCAGCTGAAACAGCACCACCTCCACCCCCACCCCCATCCCCTTTACATCACATGCAAACCTATTCCAAATCCGGCATTTTCAAGCCCAAAGCCTACACCACCACTTTACCTGCTCCCTCTCCCTCTGAACCTATTACCTACAAACAAGCATCTACCAACCCCCTTTGGTGTCAGGCTAAGGATGATGAATACAGGTCTCTTATTAATCAACATACTTGGCAATTGGTACCAGCACCCAGACATCGAAAACCAATTGGTTGCAAGTGGGTGCACCGCATCAAACGTAATGCCGATGGATCCATCTCTCGTTACAAAGCTCGACTAGTTGCGAAGGGTTATCATCAAGAGTATGACATTGACTATAAGGAAACTTTCAGCCCAGTCGTCAAGCAGCAGACTATCCTTCTAGTCTTGTCTCTCGCTCTTCATAATGACTGGCCCCTACACCAGCTAGATGTGAGCAATGCTTTTCTCCATGGCACTCTCGACGAGGACATTTATATGGATCAACCGCCTGGCTACGTTGATTCCGCCACCCACATCTTGTCTGCAAGCTCAAGAAGTCCCTCTATGGTCTCAAGCAGGCCCCCCGTGCTTGGTATAATCGTTTCTCTTCCTTTCTGTAGGATATTGGTTGCCGAACGTGCACTCATGACACATATATCGGATGTACTAAATATTTCTCGTGTGTTTATTTTTTTGGTTCATATATTAGTATCTCAAATAAAGAATTGTTTATGATAAATATTTCTCGCGTGTTTATTTTTTTGGTTCATATATTAGTATCATTCATATGTAGGACAATTGATCAATTCAATTTAATATATTTAGTCATTTTTATATATATAATTTTTCTTTATTAGCTTTTGTATGACACTTTATTATTTCGATTTCAACAACATGCTCACAATTTGAGTTCAGTCATATTCTAAAGGTTCATTAAGAGTTGACGTAATTCACATATTTGATTATTATGTAATTCTCTTATATATCTTTGAAAGTACGTAATTTCATTATTTGATTTATCGTCAATATTGTTAATGGAATTAGACTATTTTCAACATACACTTTTTCATTTGTCGTAGCGTAAGGCATACGTTTTATCTCAAAGAGGAAAATATGTAAAATTAAAGAGGATCATATCTTTTAAGTAGAATTTTTATATTACAAATATTACATTATATTTATCAAGGTTTTGTAGTTGATAATATATCGTACAAACAACAATATTTTTCTAAATACATTTATTATTAATTAAAATGATACATACATGTAAAGCACGTACACTTAGTTACTAATATATTTAAAAGCATAAAGGTCCTTTGAATTGTTGATCGATCTTTTCATCATATCAGTAACTTTTTAAAATGACTATTAAACCTTCCTATTTAAAACTCTAATCATTAATTAGATAGACGTAACATTTATTTTGACTCCAACTGTTATTTTCTAATAATTTAATCTTCTTGTGTATAGTTTTACTAATTGACGTGAGATACACGTACAAAGTATCTAAGCTAGATTTTATTCTTTTTGTATGTATTTATTATTTATTAATATGACATATACGTACAAAGTCCACACATTTAACTAGTCTTTTAATAAATTGAATCAAATATTTTTAGTATACAAGGAACAAAGTAGTATAAACGAGTACTACAGTTTACTTACAAACTGATACAAAGAGACAATAATTGTGACTTTTCATACTTGTGTAGACCGCCTGTGTTTATTTTATTTTTTTAATAACAACAACATAATAAAGATTATGATAGAAACGATGAATCTTTTGTGTTTACATGCGTAGAGACACTTTTGAAATACAAGAGGTCAGTGTCCGCAGTACCTAATAGCTCATTCAACAACAATTGAGTGAGGGCGACCATTGGTGTCCCCCACCTTGACAATGTGTGACCTCGCCTCAAGTTCACAATTAGCATAGACCTCTCCGACTAGGTGAAAAATTTTAGTCCTAATCAATTCATCATCCATACAATTGAAGCAAACACAACAATAAGTAAGAAAGGCAATGGGTTGCGTCACCAACATGTTAAAATAGTAATAGGTATATACAATCTTCCTTAGAATATGAAGAGGAATAGTATATAGTGTCCTAGCTACTTAGAAAAGAATTGTATTGTAGTATCTTAGTTAGAAAAGGAGTCTATTGTAGTGTCTCTATGTAATAATGTAGATACAACAATTCAATAAGGGAAAAAAGGTCTGATATACCCCTCAACTTTGTCATTTAGAGCTGATATACCCTTGTTATGAATGTGGCTCATATATATCCCTACTTGTAAACAATTGACTCACATATACCTTTTTTTCTCTAACGGAAATGAAAAAAAATAATTTTAATCTAAAATTTTATTATTTTTTTCAAAAAATATAATCTCATATGAGTAAATTTAATCCTCGTCAAACATTTTTTTTGACTTTTTTGTTTGAATGACTAATTTATAATTATTATTTTGATAATCAAATTTATTTATGTTTTACTAATATACTTGTAAACCTTATTGTAGATGACCAAATTTTTTCTTTGAATACGAAATTAAATTACCATACACGCACAAAAAATAGTTTAATTTTTTTTCTTTAAACTAAGGAATGAAAGAAAAAAACAAAATAAGAATAAGAAACTCAAATAATTATAATAAAAGAAGTCAAAAAATAATTTATATATGAAAAAAATTAAAATATACCTTGAACTTTGATAGAAGAATCATATATATCCCTGAATAATTTTTTTAAAAAAAATTAGAAGTAATAAATATAAATTTTAAACTAATTATTAACTTCCGTTAAATGAAGGGTATATATGAGTCATTTTGTAATGTCAGGGGTATATGTGAGCTGTTTGTATAACAGTAAGGGCATATATAAGCTTTTTTTTATAACGAGGGGTATATTAGCTCCAAATGAAAAAGTTGAGGGTATATCAGACCCTTTTCCCATTCAATAATATTGTTTTCCTATATTTTTCATATGGTGTCAGAGCCTCTATGATCTTGGTAGAAAATCAAAAAAACTTTCACTGTCGGCGGGTGGTTATTACTCATATATATCGACCGTCTGGCCAACGATGATGTTAGCAAAAGTTGAGTCACCATGTATCTTCAATGACTACCTTCTTAATTCTAATTTTTTTTAGCAACATGTCATCTTTTCGGTGACTACTTTTTTCATATTTAATTTATGTAGGCACTGTGTCATCTTTTTTGTGACTACTTTTTCATAATTAATTTGTGTAGCACCTTGTCATCATTCTGATGATACTTTTTCATAATTAATTTGTGTAGCACCGTGCCACCATTTCGGTGACTACTTTCTCAGATTTCTGATTTGTGCAACACCGTGCCATCATTTCGGTGACTACTTTTTTATATCCTATATGTATAGCACCATGTCATCCTTCCGGTGACTATTTTTTCTATTATTTGATTTGCGTAGAACCATGCAACTCTCCAACTACTTTTCATATTTGATTTGCGTATTATCGTGGATTTTCCAAAATATTCTCATATCTAATTTGCATATTGCCATTTATTTTTTTGGTGACTCCTTTTATTTGATTTGCGTAGTTTGACTCGTCTTTTTGATGATTCCTAAAATATGATTTGCGTACTTATTCCAATCTTATCCATATAATTTCTCGATCGTGACAGCATTTTGACCCACACGTGTACTTTTATTTCTTAGATTGTGACTACTTTCAACCATTAAATCTAATACTTCGACGTATGAGTATGACCAGTTTTTCAGTGACTATCTTTTTTAATATTGACTTATCTTATTGATTCCAACACAATCCATATACTTTATACTAGGATCGCTGCGTTGTAAAGAAACCGATATGGAGCAACCACCTAGTTTTGTTGCTCGTGGGATTCTACTACCTTATATGTCGATGGAGAAAGTACTCTATGGTCTGAAACAATCTTTGCAAGCTTGGTTTGGGAAGTTCAACACTGTGATTTTATCATTCTACGTTTTATCAACTTTATGCGTCAAATTCGTATTTCATGAAAAGACCAATCACTTGAGATTGACCGAAATTATGCATCAAATCTAGTATTTTATGAGAAGGCTAAACACATAGAGATTGACTTTCAATTTCGAGAGTCGAGTGATCAACTTACAGACATCTCATGAAACCCCTCATTAGTCCTCGTATTAATTACATTTGTAACAAACTAGATATATATGATTTGTATGCACTAGCTTGAGGGGGAGTGTTAGAATAGTAATAGGTATAGACAATCTTACTTAGAATAGGATAATGACTAGTAATAATAGTAGTATATAGTGTCCTACTTAAAAAATGATTGTATTGTAGTGTCTATAAATATGGTCTCTGTGTAATAATGTACAACGTCTTATTTTTTTTTGTGGCTCGACTCTTCTTTCCTTTTTTTTAAAGCTCCTAACCATTACAATCAATTGAAAATCTAAACTAAGTCTAAAATTCAAAACTAAGAAAACAAAACAAAGCATCATCTAATACACCAGGTCACAAGTTGCTTCCCATGTAGCGCTCGACCCAGCCCGTGAATTACTCATCATTCAACTCGAGTGCTTCTTGATCTTGATCCAAATCATTCCCTAAGTAATATTTGACATGCAGTCCATTCACCAAAAATGTGGAGCTCTTGTCTTTATTCGTTATCACCACATCACCATCATGCGTCATCCTCACCACTTGGAATGACCCACTTCACTTAGACCTTAGTTTTATAGAAAACAACTTTATTCAAGAGTTAAAAGAGTAGGACTTGCTTGCCAGGGTCAAAAGTGCAAGGGGCAACGTGCTTGTTGTGCCACCTCTCTATCTTCTCTTTGGCGTTCTTATGAGTATGGAGCCTAAACTCCTCAAGTTCATGCAGTTGCCCTATCCTCTTCTTACTGGACAACTTAGGGTAATGATTCAGCTTCTTGATTGTCCAATACGCTTGGTGTTCTAACTCTACCGGAAGATAGCAAACCTTACCAAACACTATGAGATAAAGAGAAGTCTCTATTGGTGTTTTGTACGCCCATAGTGCATTATCAAGCTTCTCAGCTCAATCCTTTCTCTGTGCATACACAGTGTTTTATAGGATTTGTTTCACTTCTTTGTTTGATGCCTTCACTCAGCCACTAGTATGTAGGTGGTAAGTTGTAGCCACCTTATGGCGAAACTCATACTTAGCCAATAGATTTCTCATCACCAATTGATTTATGAAGTGTTTCCCCCCAACGCTGATATAATAGCTTTTAAAGTGCCAAATCTGGTGACTATATTTTTTCATAAGCTTAATAACAACCTTTGAATAATTTTTGGGTAGCGCTACGGCCTCAACCCACTTAGACACATTATTCACCGTCACTAAAATGTATTGGTTCCCATTGGATGGTGGGAACTAATAAGTTTGAAAAGTTGACTCATTTGAGGCCTTTTTAGTTCAACAAATAGTGTCCTCAATGCCTACTTATGTTCGTATTTGATGATATTTTGATGTTTTATAGCTACAAAGGATAAAAGACAGAGAAAGAATGAATATGTGAAAAGAGACAAAAAACACATTGAAGAGAGGGTAAACCCTGCTAAGGATCACCTATAACGATGGGCGAATTGTCCTATAGGTTTTTTAACGACCTGTTTAGTCGTTTTGAGCAGCAGATTTTATTTCTGGAAAAACTGGCTGAGACAACGGATCCCACGACGGACCGTCATGGGCACGACGGACCGTCGAGGGGGTCTCGTTCCAAAACACTTAGATTTCTGAAATTTGGGTACTGAAATCGACTCTCTGAACTTCGTGACGGAATGGTAGGACGGACCGTCACAGGCAGGACGAA